TTATTACAAAAAAAATTATATTATTTGTTAGAAAAATGGATTTAATGGCAGTAAGACTGGCATGGGCTCTGCCACTTGGACCCCGCCAGGGGCTGCCGTCCCTTGGACCCCCGTTCGTTCAGGGGCTTCGCCCCTAAATGACATTGTACTTTGATACTTGATCAAATTTAAACAAGTGTGTACTTCACACCTTCCTTACTTGTTTAATATTTATCAAGATCACTTTTGGTCAACAAAGTAATCCCATTACACTTAAATAACATTGATGATAACAAATCACCAACATTATTTATATTTACGGCTGCAATACCTACCAACTTTTAACATATTGAATGCTCGATATTCGTGACCAAAGTCACATTGGTCACATTAAGTTGCCCTTCTGTTTGGTTCGAGGGTGGTATTATTATATATATGGTCAATGGTTCAAGTCTTAACATCTACAATATGAGAGTTTTAATTATAATGTGGATTATCTTCATTTTAAGCATTGAGTTCTTATATAAGCCTTTGTAGCACACAGTTATATGTACCCAACTTACATCTCACACCATACTTTTGGGATAGGACTGTGTGGACCAATTCAATGGTGCCAACACGGACCATTGAGCCACTATAAAATGACCATCATATCCCTAACACTAGAAACATTACTTTAATTAAGAACCAATGTAATTACAAAGTACAAATATATGATATACACTCCACCCTATTCTCTCCAAACAAGAAGACACAAACCAACGTATGAGAATGACAGATTTGGTTGTAGAAATAGTAGTAGTAGTGGTTTTTATTTGTTAATACACATACTTGGCATAATGAGTTTTCCCATTAACATTGGCACCACCCACCACTGGTCTAACCCTAAACTTTACATGTAAACTTCATAAAAATACATACATATAAACATACAGACACCTCCTTCATCTCCGGGTAAAAACACAGACACTAAAAACTAAACAAAACAACAACGCCCAAATTTTAAACTCATACCACGAACTATTGAGCCGAAAATGATGGAAGTTTTGCACAACATGGATAAGAAGTTATCACTATTTGTCCAATGGTGCATCTGTTTCAGTATAGCCTTTATGGCCGCCACTCTGACGGCATTAAGCGTCCTATTGCCGGTTGACACCTCCATGGCATCTCCAATGATTAGCCTTTTAAAAACTTATTATTAAATCACAATCGACTTTCCACTGATATTTATTTACTAAAAACCTATTGTCACAGACCCCCTCAAATGATTAATATATTCGAAAGCTTTCTTTTTAGAAAAAAAACAACTAATTTATGTTTGGGATAATGACTTAAAAGGGTAATATATTTTTTTATTTGTATATATTTGGTCAATGAGTTTTTTTTCATTCACATTTACCCCATTCAATTTGTTAAACTGTACTCATTCAATCCTTATGACCGACTACTCCAAGTAAAATAGAAAAAATGACTTAAAAAGGTAATATATTTATCACTTTGTACACATTTAGTCATTAATATTTTTTTGCACATTTAGTCCTTAATATTTTTTATATTGCAAAATAAGTCTTTGTTGTTTTTGTACACATTCAATACTTATAACTGATTTTTTTAGGTTTTTCTCACATCATCCTACGTGAGTTAATCATTAATGAGGTGTTTAAAGCTGTTGATGCGTATATCCACCGCGACATGGGCTGCTTGGTTGTTTAGGTATTGTAGTTTGACTTACGTCTTGTGTTCTGAATGTTGTAACTTCTTCATCGATCTCGGATTTTAACGATCTTTATATCCACACGTTCGTATTTGAGTCTATTACAATTTTCGTTAAAATTACTCCCGTTAAAAAGTAATATATTTTTAACTTACAATTTTATAAAAAAAACATTCATAAATTCACAAAGAACGCGTGGACATAAACGTTTTTTTTATTATAAAAAGTAATATAGTTTTACTTACGATCTTTATGTCCACGCGTTCTTTATGAATTTATGTATGAACGTATTTTTTTATAAAATCATAAGTAAAAATATATATTACTTTTTAACGGGAGGAATCTTAACGAAAGGTGTAGTAGACTCAAATATGAACGCATGAATATAATGATCATTAAAATATGAGATCGTATGAAGAAACTACGACGTTCAGAACACAAGACATAAGCCAAACCACTAAGAAACCAAGGAGTCGAGGCCTCGATGGACATAAGCATCAACAATCCAAACACTTATAATGATTGTCCCATGTAGGATGATGTGAGAAAAATCTAAAGAAATTAGTCTTAAGTACTGAATGTGAACAAAAATAATAATGACTTATTTTGCAACAAAAAAAATATTAATGACTAAATGTGCAACAAATATTAAAGACCAAGTATGTACAACGGAGAAATATATAACCCTTTTAAGTCATTTTTACCGGTTTACATAGAGTAACATGTCATAAGGACTGAATGTGTACAGTTTAACACGTTGAAGGGATAAATATGAACGAAAAAAAACTTAGTGACCAAATGTGTACAAATCAAAAAATATATTACCCTTTTAAGTTATTATCTCTTTATTTTTATCTTCCCTATATGTTATATAAAGTCCCTCCACCCCATATACTTTGTTATTTTTAAGTATATGTCTCATTTTTTTAAAATAATATCTTTTGACATTAATAAGTAAATAAATAAAACAACATTTTCAAAGTTTTGACAATATTTTTTAAAATCTATAAATTTGCATAAAATATATTCAGTTTTATTTTGTATATTTAATTATATAGATTAACTGATCAAAAAATAATAAAAACTTAATATATGAGTATAATAAAGAGTTTTATGCCGAAAGTCTCATTATTTTGGAATGTTTTTTTTTATAAAATGCTAAAAAAAATTAAACAGAAAAGTCTCAATTATTTAATATTTTTCTCAAATTAACGGAAAAAATCATTTTCTATTTTAACAGAAAATAAAAGATTATGTGATTTTCCATAATAGTGAGACTTTTCTGTTAAAAAAACATTTAAAACTTTATCAAAATAATTTCCAAAATAATGAGATATTTCTGTATAAAACTCATATAATAAGGATGTAGAATAAAATGTTATTAAAGATAAGGACCAAAATGAAAAAAAAAAATCTATAAAATGAATAAGTAGTTGGAGTTTACTAAGGTGTTGTTTGTTTTTTCGAAGCGAAAATGCATGAAGTCTGTGGACCGCCTTTACAACCCTCTGTAGCAGAAGAGGGGGACCAAACGGCTGCAACGTATAATAAAAAGTCTGTTTGTTTTTTAACATCTGCAGACTGTTGCAATAAGTTAAAGTAAGGTGTGAACAGGTTTGAAGCAGAGGGTCTAGTGTTGCGCTACGCAGTACACGCGCAGCAGTTTTTAAGTCAGGAGTCTTCTGAAAAACAAACAATTGTGAAGGGTCAAGTGTTGTGCGTGTGCTGCGCGACACAACAATAAGTGGTCAGAAGTGGTTTTTTAGAAAAAACAAACAGCACCTAAGTGGCATCTTAATACAAATCGTATCTCTAATGGTAAAAGGCTATTTAGAAACTTTTTCAAATATTAAAAAGTTTAAAAAAAAAAAAAAAAAAAAAAAAAAACTATCGTTGAAGATTATCTCATATGCCTCTTTTATTTAATGGATTTGTTAAATGTTTTTTTTTTATTTAATGGATTTGTTAAATGGTAGTTGTCGCAGATAAATGTTCTATAAACAAACATTGTTTCGATTTTTATGTTGAATTAAAATAATATAAGTAAATGAATGTTTACCGTTATCAAATATAAATACAATTGTTCTTCTTACCCATATAAAATCAACTTCACTATTTTAAAAAATTACCACACAATCAAGACATAATTAGTTAAGGTAAAAGGTAATGGGTTATGGGTAAGATATAGCATAATTGTTTCCTTTTCAAATCTCGATATAATAAGTTCATGGATTAAACCAAAAAAAACCTAGCTTAATATATAAACACACTACCCTTTACCTATCTATCTTTCTTTTGTAACTCCTACAATAAATTTGATGAGTAATGTAAGACTTGATTTTGGAAATACAAAGATAAAATGACCATTTAGTTCCATACAATCTATAAAACAAACAAAATCTTACTTTTTAACAAAAATAAAATGGCAAAAGAAAAAAAAAAAAAAAAAAAAAAAAAACTAAAGGTAGCCAATTAGATGTTAACAAGGGTATGTATGTGGTGTGTGTGGGGTTGGTTGTTAGGATTTAGGGTTTGTCATACCTAACTAGACATTTCAGGACAAGCTTTAACCAATCTTTAGGACCATTAGGACCAGGCCTTTATCAACAATTCTCTTAATTTGCAAACTAGTTTGCTTCTAATTCAAAGGAGAATTTTGTCTACTCTTCTTTATTCAACCTCAAATTTTATATAAGGACCTTAGAATAGTTAAGAATGTAGCATGTAGGGTAGGATATACGGTTTGTCATAACTCATACCTAACTAGGCTAAGTTTTCTTCAACACTTAAACAAAGGTAAGAATGAGCACACCTACGTACCCATCCACCCAATCCCACAAGTCAAACCTTTGACAACATAATTTCTTTCTTTCTAGATTGCTAATCATCAAGTTCTAACAACAAACAAAAAATTATGTTACTCAATATTTAATGCTACAACCCCTATCACATTTTGACATATATTTCATTGCCAACATCAATCATGCCAACAAACTTCATTTCATCACAAAAGAAAAACCATTAATGTTCGATATTAGACGTATATACATACAGACGTACATACATACAGAAATGGTCAAGGGTTCAAGTCTCAACAACTGCTGCTGTGTACGAGTTTTAATCCCAAATGGAGACAAGACAGTGTGGACCAACTCTCAGGCGACCAACAAAAACCCTTTTTAGCAAAATTCCTATCAAGTCAGTTAAAATGACTATTATACCCCTAACACTAAACATAAGTTTTGAATAAGAAAAATTCTAGTTACAAAAAACTATAACCAACCAACCATGAGAATATTAGATTTGGCCTTCTTATAACATCATTAGTAGTTTGTTATTTGTTAATACACATACAAATGCCATAATGAGTTTTTATCTTCCCATTGGCACCACCACCCTCCACCCTCCACTAAATCTAAACCCTAAACTTTACAAGTAAACACCACAAAACACACACACAAACACACACACACACATACAACCATCTCCCTCTTCTCTCATTAAAAAAAAAACAGACATTAAAAACAAAATTAGGCCCAAAATTTAAACTCACAATTGAGCCGACAAATGATGAAAATTTTGCACCACCGGGATAGGAAGGTCATCATTGTTTGTTCGGTGGTGCATCTGTTTTTGTACCGCCTTTATTGCCGCCACTCTGGCGGCATTAGCCGCCCTATTGGCGGCTGCCACCGCCCTGTTCACTCTTTCATCAACTTTTGCCACGTCATATGCTTTCTCACCCGCTCTTCTTGCTTCCTGTTATTTATAAAGATCCTTTTTCAATTCTTATATGAAGAACAAGTTAAGGGTATAAAAGTAATTAGTAATTACCTGAATTGCATTAAGAACTTTGGAATGATAAACAGCAACAGGTGAAACAGGATAAGTGGCACTTTGTGAGCTTGGAACATCAAGAACACCATTTTGCCAATGTCCAGATTGAGTCTCTCCATTTCTGAAAGTGTACATTCCAAGTCCCTGTCTTCTTCCTTCATGCCATGAACCTTCGTATCTATGACCATTTGCAAAACTATAAACCCCAAAACCATGCATCTTGTCTGCAAAATATTCTCCAGCATATGTATCTCCATTCCTATAAAAAAAATTGGGTCTTTCATTCATTGTATTTGTATATCATTAAAGATTAAACAAACAATCTTGATGTGTGTAGATTATAGAAAGTAAGGATTTTTACCTGAAATGGTAATGGCCAAGACCATGTTTAACGCCCCATTTGAATTCTCCTACGTATCTGCTACCATCTTCGCAAGTGTGAACTCCACATCCATGGCTTTGACCGTTTGACCATTCTCCGGCGTAGACATCACCGGTGTAGAATCTATAAACGCCAAACCCATGTCGGAGACCTTGTCTGTATTGTCCTCTGTAACGACTTCCCCTGGCCCATGTTTCCATACCATATCCGTCGTATTTTCCATCGACCCAATCGCCTTCGTATCTTCCACTCATGTAGTAATAGTAAACCCCACAACCGGAGCATTTACCTTTGTGAAATTCACCTTCGTAGACGTCGCCATTGTTGTATGCTTGCACCCAACACCCTGAGCTTCCTCTTTTATCTCCTTTTTGTCGAGACCCGATTGGCCAGAAGATTGGGAGGTGTGGTCTTGAAGAATGGGATGATGGGTAGAGTTTAATCGGGAAAGATCTAGATAGAAACAATCGAATCGAAGGGAGGCGAGGGAGAGCAAGATTTAGGGAAAATAAGAGTGCTGTTGAGAACGCAAAAGCTGATAGGAAATCGAGGAGGAAGGAGTGACTAGGATGCGAAACCAAGAAGTAGAAAAAGGGGAGAGAGAGTAGAAGGATTAACCTGAGGTGAGTTCGAAGGCGGCGGAGATGGCGGAGACGATGAAGGAGGTGGAATGCGGCGGCTTTCGTATTGCAAAACCGCTTAGAATAATGGGTTTTTGATGAAAAGGGGTAGTTTTTTAGGGGATTCGATAAAATAGGTGATCTCGTGAAGGGGTTTGAAGATGAACTGGCTGTCGTTTGCGAAAAAAGAGGCCTCTTGTGAGGTGTTGATTTAGGTGTTGGTGCAGCAAATGGATCGAACTCAACATCATCAATTACAATTTGATGCTGATGACTGGGGTTAGGGTTAGGGTTTGTCGCTGCTGTTGTAACATCACTGTTATTGTTACTATGATCAGGTGATGGTAACAACAATAACGAAGAGGACGAAAATGGCGATGGCGATGATGAAGAAGAAGACGGCGAATGAGGTGTCGATTTGAAAACAGGGAATTTGTGAGGGGAATTAATGGCAACTGAAGAAGAAATTATGGGGTTAGGGTTGAAATCGGAAGAGACACCACTGCTATCTTTTCCGATCTGAACTTCAGATTTCTTCTGATGCATTACATACGTAAATTCACGCACACCCAATCCTCAAAATCACATAAAAACTCTTTCTCTTCTCTGAATTTATCCAGAAATCCTGCGAATTCTTCAAGAACCAAAGACTGACTTTCTCTCAATCTGAATTACGAACAAAAAAGACCTTTTCTCGCCAAACAAGATTGAAATTGAAATGGTATACACAAGTTTCTGTGTAGAAAATTTGAGGGGTTTTATACGCAGAGAATTAAGGTGAAAAACGGGAAGTAGAGCGAAGTGTGCGTTGAGTTTATGGTGATTTCGTGTTTAGTTTGCCAAGAGATGGATTTTGAAACCAGAGGCGACCGGCTTAGCAACCAATCATCATTTAACTTTGGGTTTCTTTCTCCTATTTATTACAGAAATGCCACTGTCTTATCCATTTTCTTTTTTATTTAAATTATTCTCTTGGGATAGGAAACACACATTGTTTTCCTTTTTCAAATGCGTGAAGAGTTTCAATTTCGATCCTTTTTAATTAGATGTGATAATGCGGAAAATTTAAATTAATTTATGTATTAATACAATAAGACATAATTTACAGTATAATTATATTTAGGAGTAAAATATAGTTTTATCTTTGTGGTTTGCTCCAATCTATATATTTGATACATATTTGATGTGATTTTGAAAAAAAAAATGATATGATTCGTTTGTGGTTTTCAAATCTTGCGTCCTAAGGTAGTTACAATCTATTTTTCTATTAATATTTAGTTTAAAAAGATATTACCCTCAGAGCAAACTAATAAATGGTAGCTAAAGCCCTAATTTACCATACATATCCCACATCTTGTCATAGCTCCCTCCTCAGCCCCCAAATGTCATCGCTCAACAATAACTATGTGTGCCATAATCAAAATCGAAGGTTGTCATTTGTGAGAGGTGATAGAGTTGAAGTAACCATCATTAAAATATGGTTAGAAAGAATCTTACTATCTAGTCATGGCCAATATCATCTCTCAAATTTCTATTGGTTCGACCAATAATTTTAGGTCAACGTCACTATAAATACATCTAACTTATTGTAACCCCAATGTGTAAGTGTAAGGTTGTGTTTGATATACTTACGACCGAGTTGGGTCAGATGTTTCTAGCTGACTCGGTAAGCAAAAGTTGTTTGTTAAGCGGATTTTGGATGTCTGATTTAGTAAGCTAGATCTGAGCGGAAAAGATGAGGGAAGTCATCTGAGTGAGAAAGAGAGAGTCGTTTCCAAAAATGCCCTTGCCCTACATTCCAATTTTCAGCGCCTCCTTCCCACTTTCTTCTCTCTTTCAACATCGATTCTATTCACCTGCAACAAGCAAAAAGTGTGAGTTTGTGTTCTGCCTTCTCGAATGAGCAAGAATAGAGCGGAATCAGAGGATGATGACTATGAGAAGGAGACGCGCATGAACTGTAACAGTGGTGTTCTGCCTTCTCCGACTGCTTCGTCTTCCATTTAGAGAGTTATATTTGCATGTTGGGTGGTTGCATGATGACTAATTAGGAAGAGATGGAGGATAGGTGAGCCTTGAGAGTGAGGTGACGGTGAAGATTAATTAGGGTGAGACTGTAACGTGAGAATTAATATCCAACAATTCTTTTTATGTGGGTTGGGCTTTTATTTCGTAAGAGTTCTTTTGTGAATTTTATACTGAAAATTAGATAATATAATATAAATCAACTTTCCCATGATACAAATACATAACCATTTTTTAATTATATAACCTAAATTTCAAGAATTATATATTAAAGTTTAATCATACAATATATATAAATCAACATTCATAGAATACAAATAGTTAACCATTTTTTATTTGGATTTTCAAATTATTTGTGTGTTATTTACATTTTGTATAAAAATTTGTTATGTTTTATAACTCTTCATCAACTTCATCCATCACCGTATAAAGTTGCAGGGCAAAATAGTCATTTTTTATCAGTCAGCACATTCAGTCAGATGTACAATCAAATAACATGGTTTCTTACTCAGTCAGGACTTCTTACCAAGATAGACATTTTCCAATCAGCACTTTCTCAGTCAGTAACTATCAAACGGGACCTAAGTGTAGAGAGTGTTAGCCGATATTATGCAATAAATACATAAATCTTGTATAGAATTTGATATCAATTAAGAATATCTCTAGTTTTCTTATAGACATAGCTTGATCAAACATACCAAGTGAACCATGGTAAATCTCCTTGTGTTCTTGTTTAATATTCATAGCATATTTTTCTTTAATCATCATCCTCGTGTTATCAAGGTTGCATATTAATACCCAACAAAATGTATTACAGCTACGCCTAAAGAAAGCTAATTTAAGATCGATAAATTTGGAGGTCATGATTTTGTATTTAGAGGATACACGTCAAATAATATGTCTACCATAAATATTTACATCTACCCTTAAGTTAAAAAAATGGCATGAAACAGGAGGATTGTGATATGTTATATCAGCGGGCACGTGGTGTGGTCCGGTAGTCGTTGGTAAAGAACATTCCTTACAACATTTTTTATTAAGAAAACAACAAATGGACTGATAAAGGTGTTTCCTAACATGTTCGATACACCTTCAGTAGCAAACATGGTTTTCTTGGTTGGACAGTTGCTAAATACATAGATGAAGGAAGGTTGCTCAATGGCATACCACATAAATGCGTTCAACTGAATTATATCAAGATTGACATTTATTGAAATTGGGTTTAAAGACTAAGTCAACCATTGTTATTATCATCCTTGCTTCCTGAGAGTTGGTCTGAAACAGTCACATCAGTGAGTAGTTCATCTGCGACTACTAAGCTCACTTTCAAAGGCAATTGTGATCTAATCCTCGGTGAGGATATCTAAAGGAAGAATGTAGGGGTGTGCTCCAGCAGTTTGCTAATTATTGAAGAAAGTGGAAGAAAATCTAATAGAGGGGGTGGTAGTAAATGTATATGAAAGTTAATAATAAGAAGATAGTCATGAAGTGTGAATGATATTACCTGTTAGAATTTGAAAGAAATCTATCATTTTATAAATTAGCATCTGAAACCTTCGACTAAGAAGGTGGGGAAGGAAGTGAACATGGAAGAAGATTTTGATGATGTGCTTATTTGTTGCGTAAATAGTACAATTGAATTTGGGATTACGGATTTTGCTGCTTTAATCCATGCAAGAATTTTAAAAAAGTAACACACAACTTCAAGCATTATAGTGGCAAAGTACGACTTGCATATAACAAAATCTTGGATATCACTAGAGTTGGGAATGTAGCTCTCAGTTCGATTTTGGGTTCGAAGTGGATTTTAAAGAATGTAAAGTACATTTCGGACCTGAAAAGGTGTTGATGTTAGTAAGGTAGTTTGGAAGATGAAGGAAACCATGTTGATTTCAACAATCACCGGTTCAAAGCAACTATAGAGGTGGAAAAAATGACACCGCATGCTAATTCGACACGAACTAGAGACAAAATATGTGTAAATATTTCAACCCATTTAATTAAACAGGCAAAGCACAACACAAAACAAAAATTAAATGAGTAAGGTTAGAGTTAATAATTTCAACTCGAATATGACTAAAAATGACCCATTTATTTATATGCATTTTTTTGAATTCTTTGGATAAACTAGAAAGACCCAAAACCAAAACTATATGTAAATAAAAACTTCGAGTTGAGTCATTTTGTAATGTGGAAACGACATTATCTGCCTAGTTCAATTTTTAATTTTTTTTTATTCTCTCCCAAACTAAATAGTCCCCTCAACCACTCCCTTCTCTTTATGATCCCACCCTTTGCATCCCCAACTCCTACTATTTGCATTTTGTCCTCTAAACTTACTATGAATATAGCCATTCTACCTCCCAACTATTACCTTTTCCATCTTTTTACTTTTTCTTTTCTGCCAATTCATTGTTTAGTGTTTTAACCTCACATGACATGACACATTTCAACATGTAACACTAACTAGAAACCTAACACAAACTCAACACAAAATAAACGGGTTGCACATCACAACATAATAATTACATGGGCAGAGTTAGGGTTAAGCTCTCTTAATCCTTTTTTTTGTCTCGACATGACACGAACCCAACAATATATGCATATTTTCCAGATCCAAAAGTAACAAGAGGGTCTCAATACTACATCACATTTATAGATGATTCCACAAGGAAGATGTGGGTTTATTTTATCAAATATTATTTTGAAATATTAACCTCCTTTAACAAGTAAAATGATTCTATTAAGAACGATATGAATCTCAAAATCAAAATGCCTAAAGTCAAACAATGGGAGTGAATGTAGCAGTTTGGAGTTTGTTGATTATTTCATTGACCATGGAATTAGAATGTTGAAAATGGTTCCAAGAAACCTCAGTAGAATGGCATTTCATATAGGATAAACACAACACTAAATGAAAGATAAAATAGTATGAGGTTGCATACAGGGTCTCCAAAGGTGTTCTAGGAAGACATAGTTAATACCACAACATACTTAATCAACATAGGAACCTCAATACCTGTAGGGTTTAAATTTTCAAAAGAGGAATGGAGAGATCGAAGATATACATGGGTCATCTAAATATATCCATGTATGTTCTTACATCAATATAAAGGATTAGACAAAGATAAGTTAGATGCAAAGGAGAATAAGTGCATCTTCGTTGGCTACAGTTTGGATGACATGGGGTGTCGCTTTTGGGATAACTAAATTCGAAGAGTTATTCGAAGCTTATATGTGACACTCAAATAGAATGCTTTATAGAAAGATAATCTGGTTAAAGCCTCCAGTTTGAAAAAGAAACCTAAAGGCAGAGACAAAGTTACTTTAGATAGGATGTTAGAAGAATACACTGCAAAGACTTTCAATATTGAAGGAATGAGCCGAGGTTTTGAAAGCAGTAGGAGTAAAGAAACCTCCAGAGTGAGTGGGAACGACTCCGAAGGAAGCAAAATTGAAGGCATTTAATATGAACCTAAAGAAAGTGGACCTGAAGCATGGTAGCGAAGCCATTAAGATTGTCACTTTGGGTATACTTAGAAGATCCATTAAAATGAGGAATCTTTCGATTAAGTATTCTCTCGCTTAAGAAATTATTTGTTGTTGGATGAGAATCAAGAGCTATAGACTTACCTAAAATTTTCTCAAGAAAATTATATTCAATTGGTTTTAGAGAAGTTCAACATGGTAGATACTAAGGACAAAAGTACACCTCCTGAGAGTCACATAGAACTTTCCAAGAGTTAATCCTTGATGACTAAAAAGGGAAAAATAGAAATGGTAAAGGTCCTTATACGAACATACTTGGTAGCTTGATATATGAAATGGTGTGAACCATACTAGAATTCTCTCACAT